CATTTCTGTTCCTTTAAAAAATTAAACTGGAACAAGGAAAGAATATAAAATATTTTAAGTAAATAAATTAAAAGGAAAACAATTCATTTTAAATCTATGTTAGTGTTTCATACAAGTTTTTCTATTCAGAATGTAAACAAACTTTATTGCACAAAGGGAAATTTCTAGTAGAAGAAACATTATTATACTTATTAAATAGTATACCCATTTAAAAAAAGGTACATATGCTTATCACCAATTACAAAAATAATTTTAACAGACAACAACTGCTTGGTAAGAAACAGTTAACTATTAACAATTACACTATAGCAAAAATAATAAACACTGTCATAAATATTTCATTTCTTCATAAATAAACAAAACTTTTCTAAAAAATTACAAAAATGCAATTAGGTATGTATTAGTCCTGATATACTTCTTAAATTATGCGACAACCCTCCACCAATAAGAGTGTGACACACTCTCTTGATGCATGTGACTCCCTCTATTCAATTCTACCGAACTATCACTTCAAGGTTTGGCAGAAATGAAAGCACCAGTTTTCGGTAGGGAGGATGGGTGGGAAATGTGAGAGGAAGTAATTATTGGAAATACATTTTCAGTATAGGAAAATTATAACTTCCGATATGGTACATTACCTCCATTCATATAAATAGCTAGAATCCCACATTGAAAAGGTGCAGGGACCAGTGCGAGGGAAAGAAAGGAGCATTCTTCAGAAGCATCTGAAGGACACCCCCAAAGAGTAGATCCTTGTAGTAGAAGATCATACCTAGGAGGCTGCACCACTTTTGTACCAGGTATACTCTTCGCCCCTTGTGGAAAAATGTCGCTTATATGGGCAGAAAGACGGAGAAGCACATTCAAGCTGAAAAGAACTATGGTAGGATATGGATCCAAACCATAAGATATTTATGAAACTCAAAGCCAGAAAACATAAAAGTGGGTAAAATGAAAAGGATGTGCCCCTAGGTGTAGAGTGGATATGGCACAATGGACTGTATACAGCAAGTTAACTACATCCAAAACCCATGTCACTGACAACTGACATCCATATCAGATGGCTGGGTTTTGGATTATAGCTAACTTGCCACTGGTATGATCCTCTTTCCTACCCTCACACAGATGTTGGTTCCTGGTGGCCTTGGTTTTGGATTGTAGTTAATTTGCCAGCAGTATGATCCTCTTTCCTACCCCCACATGGATGTCAGTACCCAGTGGCTGGGTTTTGGATTGTAGTCGACTTACTGACGGCATGATCCTCACTCTACACCTGGGGGTGTAGGAAAGAGAATCAAACCATCTTCACCTCAAGTTCATTAGACCGGAGGGAATCTCTTACCCCCGACCCATGAATGGGGCACATGATAACAATGTGAGAAATTGATTGATCAATCCGGAAACCTGACATCTGGTATCAAAAAGATGTTTGTCTCATGTAAACCATCTCACTCAAATTTAAAATGAGAGGAACTAACCCAAGTGCAATAACATCCTCTAAATAATAAGTAAAATGAGGGAAAGCAGAAGGGGAAAAACTGTAGTAATCTGCAAGTACTTCCACCATGACCCACTGCATGGATGGAGTAACAAGAGTATAAATGAGTGAGGGAATAGAGACATCTATAATAAATGTGTGAGGACTAATTTTGATTGGTTCAGCTCTAAATCCAAAACCCAACCACTAGGAACTGACATCCACATGGGGGTAGATAAGGGATCCCAATCAAAGGGGTGAACTGCAATTTTGGCAGCTCATTCCGTTGTTACAAAGTGGAGGATATCTCATCATCTACACCAGCAGAATACAACCGTCCTACTCTCAACTGAAAGTTTTTACAATCATTTATATATATATATATATATATATTATTATTATTTGTATTTCATTAACACATTCAGGAGGATGCCTCCTCGGTCCACCACCCCAGTGGCTTGGAACTAGAAAGTGGTAAGGACTCTTAAGTTCCACCAAAAGAAAAGGGCAGTAGAGAGTCCACAGGAACAACAACACTGAGACAGTTCAATGGGTGACCACGAAACCCTA